AGATCACCTGATTGGGAGTTCAAGACCAGCCTGACCAACATGGTGAAACCCTGTTTTGTTTTGTTTTTTTTCTGAGACAGAGTTTCGCTCTTGTTACCCAGGCTGGAGTGCAATGGCGCGATCTCGGCTCACCGCAACCTCCGCCTCCTGGGTTCGGCAATTCTCCTGCCTCAGCCTCCTGAGTAGCTGGGATTACAGGCACACGCCACCATGCCCAGCTGATTTTTTGTATTTTTAGTAGAGACGGGGTTTCACCATGTCGACCAGGATGGTCTCGAACTCTCGACCTCGTGATCCACCCGCCTCGGCCTCCCAAAGTGCTGGGATTACAGGCTTGAGCCACCGCGCCCGGCTCCGAAAAGCTTTTAAAGCAAGCAAAACAAACCTAATTTTTCAAATACTCACAGTTCATTTGCATGGATAGTAGTAGCTGTTTCAAAGGCACTTCACATGTACAGACAAGATTGATACAAACAATAGCCCTATGAGGTGGGTGCCATTATTATCCCCACTTATAACATGAGGAAACTGAGACACGAGTCTTTATTTATGTTAACACAGCTGGCAGGAGCCAGCACTGAGGTCTGAGTATCTGAAGTTAGAGAGGTAACCCAAAATTGGCCAGATGTGGTGGCTCATGCCTGAAATCCAAGCACTTTGGAGGCCAAGGCGGGTAAATCACCTGATTGGGAGTTCAAGAGCAGCCTGACCAACATAGTGAAAACCCGTTTTTTTTTTTTTTTTTTTTTTTTAAAGAGGTAACCCAAAATCATTCCTGCCAAAGAGCAGGGTTGGCAGGGGTTAGGGAAACAGTTCAGTCCATGAGATCCCACTGTGGGAACCTGCCACTCCCAGCTTCCCTCTTCTTGTGAGGTTGCCATGGTGGCAGAAGCTTGTGATTCCTACCTAGGTGAGTCCAGATTGTCTCAGAGCCTCACTTAGCCCAACACACCCCCATTATCTCAGCAACTCAGTATAGAGAATTAAGAGTGTTCTGAGACTCTTCAGTGTCTCTTCTACCTACCGTTTGGGGAGGTCCTGCAGTCATGCAAAGCTCTATGTTGTAAATTCTGTTTTGGAATTATGTGGAAGGGTTTCCATTTCTGGCAAGCAGTGGGATGGAGTATGGAGCATTATCTCAGGCACAGGAACCAGCACGTGCAAATACTTCACTTGAGGCTAAACTAGGAGTGTTTGGGGAACCTCAGGTCTCCATTATGTCTGGTGTGATCAGACAGCAGGAACAGGATTCAGCCCAGGAACCGTAGGCAGCCTGAGGATCTGGGTTTCTCTGCTGAGAGAGGTAGGAGCCACTGCAGGTTTGGAGCTAGGAGGGAATGATCTGACTTCGGTCTTAACTAGCTTTGTCTTCACTGTCGAGTGAAGAAAAGACTGTGGGAGTGAGGATGAGGGAAGGAATACCACTGAGGAGCTTAATGTAACAGTTTAGGTTGGACCAGAGTGGTGGCTGTAGAAGTGGGAGATGTGGATGGATTCTGAATCATTTTCCTTAAAGAGGGACCAACCAGATTTTGGAGGATGAGATAGGAAAGGGAAGGGGTGAAGGATGACCCTGCTTTTTTTTTTTTATTCTGAGAAGATACAAGGATGCCATCAACTGAGGGGACAAAGTTGGTGATAGGAGTACTTTTCAGAGGTTATATCACGACTGTAATTTGGCTATGTGGAATCTGCCATGTTCCAAAGACACTTGAGTAGAGGTGTCAAGTAGACAGCTGGGCACAGAGATCTGAAGTTCAGAGAAGGGATTCAGGTTGGAGCTATCCACAGGGTGGCAGCTGGCATGTGGATCAGGATGGAGTTTTGCTTCCAGTTTAGAGGGAGAATCTTTAGATCATGGTGGCAGTGCCATCAGAGAGCACCAATGTAAGGGCAGGCACAGCAGGGTGGGGGTAGGGGCCATCTTAGAGGCTAGAAGAGGGAGGGAAGTGTCCTTGGGAGGAAGGGGAATAATGAGGTCAGGCAGGTGGCAAAGTGTTTCCGGGAGAGAGTGGATGTGAGGTGAAGTACTGTAGTAATAGAAGTGAAGTGGCAGTGAGGCCAGAGCCAGTGTTTATTCAGCTCTTTATGTGTCTTCAGGCTTCCGTGGTGGCCCCTGTGGAGTTTCAAGCTAGTGAATTAGCCCAGGGACAGATTGGGTCAGTAGGCAGAATCACTGTGCTTGGGGTAGGTGCCCAGCGGGTGTGGGTTTTTTTTTGTTGTTGTTTGTTTGTTTTCTTTTTTTAAAGAATAAAGAAGAGGAAGAAAGAGAGAGGAAGAGGGAGAGAGGATGGGGGTATTGCTTTATTGCCCAGGCTAGAATGCAATCTAAATATGGGTATGCCTATAATTGTCCTTAATAATGGAGATATAAAAGAAAATGAGGGGAGAGAATAACAAACAAGGAGCCAACCAACATTTCGTTTAAACTTCTTCTTTTTTTTTTTTTGAGACGGAGTTTCGCTCTTGTTACCCAGGCTGGAGTGCAATGGCGCGATCTCGGCTCACCGCAACCTCCGCCTCCTGGGTTCAGGCAATTCTCCTGCCTCAGCCTCCTGAGTAGCTCGGATTACAGGCATGTGCCACCACGCCCAGCTACTTTTTTGTATTTTTTTTTTTTTTTTTTTTTTTTTTGAGACAGAGTTTTGCTCTTGTTACCCAGGCTGGAGTGCAATGGCGCGATCTCGGCTCACCGCAACCTCCACCTCCTGGGTTCAGGCAGTTCTCCTGCCTCAGCCTCCTGAGTAGCTGGGATTACAGGCACGCCTCACCATTCCCAGCTAATTTTTTTTTGTAATTTTAGTAGAGACGGGGTTTCACCATGTTGACCAGGACGGTCTCGATCTCTTGACTTTGTGATCCGCCCGCCTAAGCCTCCCAAAGTGCTGGGATTACAGGCTTGAGCCACCGCTCCCGGCCTCTTTTTGGTGTTTTTTTAGAAAGGCTGATACTGTTTGTTCCTTTCTATGTGTAGTGGTTCTTTCAGAAGCTCTTGTAAAGCAGGCCTGGTGGTGATGAAATCTCTGAGTCCTTGCTTATTCACAAAAAAACTTTATTTTTCCTTCATTTGTGAAGCTTAGTTTGGCTGGATGTGAAATTCTAGTTTGAAAGTTCTTTTCTTTGAGGATGTTGAATATTGGTCCCCACTCTCTTCTGGCTTGTAGGGTTTCTGCTGAGAGATCTGTTGTAAGTCTGATAGGCTTCCCTTTGTGGGTAACCTGACCTTTCTCTCTGGCTGCCCTTAGTATTTTCTCCTTCATTTCAACCCTGGTGAATCTGACGATTATGTGCCTTGGAGTTGCTCTTCTTGAGGAATATCTCTGTGGTGTTCTCTGTATTACCTGGAGTTGAATATTATCCTGCCTTACTAGGATGGGAAAATTTTCCTGAATAATGTCCTGAAGCGTATTTTCCACCTTGGATTCATTCTATTCGTCACATTCAGGTACACCTATCAAGTGTAGATTAGGTCTTTTCACATAGTCCCATATTTCTTGGAGACTTTGCTCGTTCCTTTTTATCCTTTTTTCTCTAATCTTGTCTTCTTGTTTTATTTCATTGAGTTGGTCTTCGACCTCTGATATCCTTTCTTCTGCTTGGTCAATTCAGCTGTTAAAACTTGTGCATATTTCACGAAGTTCTTGCATTGTGTTTTTCAGCTCCATCAATTCACTTATATTCCCAGGTGTGGTTCTTGAATGAGTTAAATGTTGAGCAGAAGCCGGAGACTGACCTCAGTAGTACAGCAGCAAAACAGAAAAGTGCTGAGTTCAACTGAGCTTTACCCATGTGTCTGGATTGCTGAACTGACCCATGAAATAGAGCCAGGAGAGTAGGATTTAATAGCCGGATTCAGGATACCATGGCAGTGGGGCTATTGACCAAGACCAGATATAATCCTGAATACATTATCCAAGCATTCTCTGGATGCCGTGTGATGTGCACTTGGGGAAGCCAGGGAAGTACCTATGTAGTAGGTGTCCATAGATGTGAAGTAGGTATGGCCAAAAGGGTGATGTGCACATGTAGATGGAGTGTGAATTCATGGGCCCAGAGCTTTGCTACTGAGGGTTTCTGAGAGAATGCTGAGCTCAGGTTTGTATATGAGGCATAATCAGTTGTTTCCAGGGGAGCAGGGTGTTAGGAGAAGCCAGGCCATGGTGTTTTGCCTGTCCACTTGCCTGTTCTAGGCTGGACAAAAGGATTAATGGATTATGAGGGGAAAACGGACACCAATCACATCAGGGCCTGTTGTCTCGTTTGAGTTAGATGTGACAAGGAGTTCCTAGAGAGAGAGACTGCCCTTAAGCTCAGTTGTCCACCACCTCACACAGGACTATGTGATCTCTGAGGACTTATTTGTGTGCTTCTCTTAGGAGGAATGGGAGCGGATTGATGAGGCTCAGAAACCTTTCTATGATGAAATAATGATTTCTGTGCTTTGCATTTATAGCCTCCCTAGGTAAGGCCCCAGTATCCCATTTTTGTGGGCTGGGCTCTGCTCTGCTCTGCTCTTTTTGCCCTAGAGATTGCTCTTGCATGTACTATGGAAAGGCAAGAGCAATAGGGCAGAAAGGAAGAGCATGGGCACTGCTGTCTTTCCTGATTCCCTCACATAGGTCCCCTGGTGTGAAGGCTCAGCTAGATGCATTGCCTCCTCTGTTCCCTGTGTTCCTCAACTCCTGCTTCCTTGAAGCCTTGCCAGGAATGGTTTAGGGGTCAGGAGTCCTAAGGTAAACCACTGAATCCTGCTTGGCCTCTCCCTGGCCAGGTGACTGTCCATATTCATGAAACCTCTGTACTCCACACTTCACCCCCTTCCTCTAATTGCAGTTTCTTTGAGTCTGCTCGTGTGTCATCAATTTCAGTCATCATGGTCACTACTTGTGGGCCCACTGGACTGTTACTGTAGGACAGTTTTCTGAGGTTCATTTTGTAGTATTTGTTTTCTTGTGATTTTGCATGGGTTTCATCTTTCCCCTATGCTTTGTATCTTCCAGGTCCTCTGTCATTGCTGAATTGTAACAAGAGAGAGAACTCCGGGTACCTAACTGAAGAGGACATGACCCTAGTCACAGCAGGAGGGGCTTGGGCAGGCCCTGGTGAGTAGGAGCTGAAGCTGAGGGAGGGCATAACCTCAGAGCTGGGTTCTTACAGTTCCAGAAACCTATGTTGTGCCCATCACTGGTGCCAAGACCAGAGGCCCTAACTTATTTCTACCTTTTTTTCCCTGTTCTGTACACTCTTGTCCAGGCATCTCCAAACTGCGGCCCCCTGAGGCCATTTATCCGGCCCCCCACCGCACTTCAAGAAGGGGCACCTCTTTCACTGGTGGTCAGTGAGAGGAGCACAGTATGTGGCGGCCCTCCAACCGTCTGAGGGACAGTAAACTGGCCCCCTCTGTAAAAAGTTTGGGGACACCTGCTCTTGTCATTTCTACTCTGACTTCTCACCCAGGGCTGTTCTCTCCCACTCTGTACCAGAGGGGCTCTAGTAGAGCAACAGGACTCTCTTCAGTGCTGTCCAGTATTGGACTACACTTAAACACTAATGTGTCGTAAGATGCGTACATATCCTGAAACAGTCCCTGAACACATCACTCACTTGTAATCACATGTTCATGGGCCTGGACACACATTTCTGCATAGCAGTCTCCTGTCACCCACAGTCAGCCAAGGTCCAGCCAAAAGTCATTGCAGAGGATTAAGTTGGAGACCTTGCACTTCTCCCTGCACTACACCCCATCCTTGTGTCTTTGTTTCTTGGGAGGCCATCTCCATTCTGTGACTCATAGATTCCAATACTGTACATCAGCCCTGTACTTCAGTACTGTACTTCAACCTGATCCTAGCTGTGTTCCACCAGGAAGCTTAGGTATGTACTCAGTCCTGGGTACACCAGACAAACTTTTGTGATGGAGTTACCCCACTCATCAAAGTCACCATGTAGATCAGTGGTATTTTTCTGCCTTCAGGTTGTTGGCATGGAGTGAAGGATGAAGAGGCGTCTTCTGAACGGAGCGTTTCTATAGCAGTGTCACATGTTAATACTTCCAAGGCAGGTTTGCCCACACAGACAGCTCACCATTGTGATATATGTGGTCCCATCTTTAAAGATATTTTGCACCTGGATGAACACCAGGGTACACACCGTGGACTGAAACTTCACACATGTGAGGCTTGTGAGAGACAATTCTGGGTCAGTTCAAACCTTCACCAGCACCCAAAGTGTTACAGTATAGAGAAACCCTTAAGAAGGGATGAAGGTGAGGCCTCGTTTGTGAAGAACTGCACAGTTAGCAAAGAACCTCACCCATCAGAAAAGCCCTTTGCCTGTAAGGAGGAGCAGAAAAACTTCCAGGCTACTTTGGGTGCTTGCCAACAAAAAGCCACCCGAAGCAAGAGGAAGACACATAGGAGCACAGAGAGTGGGGATGCATTTCATGGTGAACAAATGCATTACAAGTGCAGTGAATGTGGAAAAGCTTTCAGCCGCAAAGACACACTTGTCCAGCACCAGAGAATCCATAGTGGCGAGAAGCCTTATGAGTGCAGCGAATGTGGAAAAGCCTTCAGCCGCAAAGCTACACTTGTCCAGCACCAGAGAATCCATACTGGAGAAAGACCTTATGAGTGCAGTGAATGTGGAAAAACTTTCAGTCGAAAAGACAACCTTACTCAGCACAAGAGAATCCACACTGGAGAAATGCCTTATAAGTGCAACGAATGTGGGAAATATTTTAGCCATCACTCCAATCTAATTGTACATCAGAGAGTTCACAATGGAGCAAGGCCTTATAAGTGTAGTGATTGTGGGAAAGTCTTTAGACACAAATCTACTCTTGTTCAGCATGAGAGTATTCACACTGGAGAAAATCCTTATGATTGCAGCGATTGTGGGAAATCCTTTGGCCACAAATACACCCTCATTAAACATCAGCGAATTCACACTGAGTCAAAGCCTTTTGAGTGCATTGAATGCGGGAAATTCTTTAGTCGAAGTTCTGACTTTATTGCACACCAGAGGGTTCACACTGGTGAAAGGCCTTTTGTATGCAGTAAATGTGGGAAAGATTTTATCAGAACCTCCCACCTTGTTCGGCACCAAAGAGTTCACACTGGAGAAAGGCCATATGAGTGCAGTGAATGTGGGAAGGCCTACAGCTTAAGCTCCCATCTTAATCGGCACCAGAAAGTTCACACTGCAGGCAGGCTCTAGGACTGCTTTGACTACAACAGAACTCATCAGTCAGATGTTGAACTTCATATATCTGAACATTAACACAAGGGAGGTACCTTATGTTGTCAGGAATGTAGGAAGCATCTAGAGATATGTTGCACTTTCTGACCTGGTCAGGTTTTTTGCCGGAGTTACATCACTGTCAATGCCTGTGGCCAAAACCGTCTTTATGAGCTTAGATACCCCAGCATTCGGGAAGGCAGGGTTTTATATTCTCCGGTCCCTGGAGAAAATCATGAAATGCCTGAGTTCATTGGGGGTCCTCATTCCCTTCTGTGTGACAGGTATAGATATGGACATGACCCATCTTTAGCCAAGAAGGTCTGAGCTGTATCTGCTGGTGGCTTATACAAAAGGTTTGCTTTCTTCATGGATAGTCTTGGTCTCACATACTTGTAATGAATATTTCCAGCCTCCAAGTCACCTGGCCTGGGAAAGTACTTGCCTCATGTTGCTCTGGTTTGTGATAATAAAGGCCTTACAGTTTAAGCCACCTTTAATCTTGGGGGCTCTTTTCACTGGAGTGGACTGAAAACAGGCTCTGCCGAACTGAAGACCGCCTTTGTGGGGGCCTCCAACTTTGTGCCTCAAATGGGACAGTGGGTTGAGGGAGAACAGTTCTTAGTCCAGTTTTCGAGTGGACTAAGTTACCTTCCATAGCTGACTAAGCTTGTTACGTAAGGATTCAGATCTTTGTGGGCCCAATTTGTCCGGATTTTAGAGTTATTTGAGAGCCCATATGTCACGTTGAGGAGGGTGCTGCTGCTGACAGCCTTCAGTGTTTTGAAACAGCATGGATCAGGTGTCTTGTTTCTAGCATAGGTCCCATGTTCCCCAACACTGTTGAGGGAAAGCTGTTCCTCAGCCCCTGCTGAGTGGTCATATTCCCTGAAGGCCAGAATCTGGTACACAGGTCACTCTTAGTAAGAACTAAAGCATCCAGTATGGAAATAAAACTGATAAATATTTGGCGTGAATAATTGCAATTGCGTGATTTGTGGCAAACTAGAGGAGAAGTGCCCATTATAAAAACATCTGGCTGGGCACAGTGGCTCATGCCTGTAATCCCAGTACTTTGGGAGGCCAAGGCAGGTGGATCATGAGGTCAGGAGTTTGAGAACAGCCTGGTGAACGTGGTGAAACCCCATCTCTACTAAAAAATACAAAAATTAGCTGGGCGTGGTGGTGCACACCTGTAGTCCCAGCTACATGAGAGACTGAGGCAGGAGAATCGCTGGAACCCAGGAGGTGGAGATTGCAGTGAGCCGAGATCAGCCACTGCACTCCAGCCTGGTGGACAGGAGAGACTCCATCTCCCCCCCCACCCCCCCCAAAAAATCCAGACAGTCCAGGTACTATGGCTGAATGGGATCAGGATATCTAAAAATCTCAGGATCTGCAGGGCCGTGTTATGGCCAGGGTCACTGGTGCAGCAACAAATGTAGTTTTCCTAGATCCTGTACTTCCCCGGGCTCTTTACCTAATGTCTTTGCTGCACATTCAGTAATCCTGGGAGTAAAGAAGTGTAGGAGTCCAAGCTGGTAGCTTTTGTGACCAACTAGAGATTCTGGTGACTCTGTTGGCAGTGGTCCTCATTGTTGGCCAATTTTTCTTATTACTGAGGAAGAAATAAATTGTCTTCCCAAGGCATTTGAGTGATAAGAGTCACCGTAGTGAGGTAGAGTCACTCAGTGATGTCCAGTTGTCCAGTTTTCAATAGAAGTAGGAGAGCCAGATTTGTTTTTGTTTTTTTTTTTGTTTTTTTGAGACAGAGTCTTGCTCTGTCTCCAGGCTGGAGTGCAGTGGCACCACCTCGGCTCACTGCAACCTCCGCCTCCCAGGTTCAAGTGATTCTACTGCCTCTGCCTCCCGAGTAACTGGGACTACAGGTACACACCACCATGCCCAGCTAATTTTTGTATTTTTTAGTAGAGATGGGATTTCACCATGTTGGCCAGGATGGTCTCCATCTCTTGATCTCGTCATCCGCCTACCTCAGTCTCCCAAAGTGGTGGGATTACAGGCGTGAGCCACCGTGTCCGTCTGGGAGACCCAGATTTTTAAATGGAATAACTTTGTATAGGTTCATTCAGGTGTAATCAACATGCAATATACTGCACATATTTAAGGTGTATCAGTAAGTTGTAATACATACACACACACTTTTGGAACTATCACCCTATCAATGGTATTGGACATACCTGTTACCCCTGAAGTTAGCCTCAAGCCCTTACTTAACCTTTCTCTCAGTGCTCTCCTTCCCCCCCAAATCCCTAGGCAACCACTGAGTAGTTTTCACTATAGGTAAATTTGTCTTTCCTAGAATTTTATGTAAGTCTATAAAGTTAATTTTGTCTCCTGTCTTTGATGCAACATAATTTGAAATTTGTCCATGGTATGAAAACCCATTTTAAAATTAGTGATATTCACTGTGGATATAACACAGTTTATCCATTTATCTTAATTGCTGTCTGCACTGCAACCTCCGTTTTTTTCTTTTTTTTTTTCTACAGCCTGATAGACTGAGCAACCTCCATTTTTAATATTAAAATACTAAGCTGCTACAAATATTGATGCATGAGTATATGAACATTTAGCTGAGAACATTTTTAAGCAGAAGTTTTCAAAGTGTGGCCATGTTTTTTACTGATTATAGGGAAGAACTGCAAAAGAAAAGACTTGAGATTTGATGCTTTGGGAAATGCTCAGCCCATCTTAATTCACAAAAAAAATTGAAATTAAGAGATTCGTTGTCAGGAAAGAATGTTTTAGAGAGATAGCCAGGAGTGTTTGCTATTATCAAGATCAAAACATACGTAAGAACATTGTCACACAAAAAGATATTTGAAAAGATTAAATGCGG